TAGGGGAATAAGATGTTTTAGAAAGAGTACAACTCCTTATTTCTGGCAGATATAGTTCCTTAACTCTCCCTATATATAAAATAGAAATAATTACCTTTGTAAGCATTTTAATGGAGCTTTATCTTTCCAGGAAATGCAATAGAAAATACAGAAATAAAATTTTTAGAAGAAGCTCTTATTTCTGCATGTCATCCAGAGAAACTCAGAAATAAAACACTTAAGCTTTTAAAATAACAGTTAAAAATCCAAGTTGAGGGGTGCCTGGGTGGCTCAGTGGGTTAAAGCCTCTGCCTTCAGCTCAGGTCATGATCCCAGGGTCCTGGGATCGAGCCCCACATCAGGCTCTTTACTCAGCAGGGAGCCTGCTTCTCCCTCTCTCTCTGCCTGCCTCTCTGCCTACTTTTAATCTCTGTCTGTCAAATAAATAAATAAATAAAATCTTTTAAAAAATCCAAGTTGAATAGTTTTTACTATGATGATTGATAAAATCAATCAAGTGAGAAGAAGTAAGTGTACATAAAAAATGGAAAATACAAAATAAAAGGAGACTGGCCATGATTATATTATTTGTGGAATATCTGAATTAAGATGGGAGTCCTTACAACACAGAGAGGGGACAGATCATTTAAAAGCTTGTGTGGCCAGAGTTTTGTGCTATCGGGTACCAAGAGTAGACTTGGGTACATGCAGTGGAATTTCACTCAAACATAAAAAAGTGAATTTCTGATTAATGCTACAACATGGATGAACCTCAAAAACCTCATACTATATGGAAGAAGCTAAACACAAGATACCATATAACTTATGATCTACAACTTGAAATGTATATATATATTTATAAGAATTAGCATCTTAACAATATTGAGATTAACAATTAACAATAAATTAACAATATTGAGATTTTCAATCCCAGAACATGGTATAGGTTTCTATTTCTTTATTGTTTGCTTTCTCTCAACAATGTTTTGTAATTTTCATTAGAGAACCCTTGCAAGTCTGACTAATAGAGGTTCTCAACAATTTTAGGAACTACACATAGAAGTAGTAGATGGAAGACAAAACATCATTTCTTTCAAGTTTTTATTTAAATTCTAGTTAGTTAACATATAGTATAATATTTGTTTCAGGAGTAAAATTTAATGATTCATCACTTACATAAAACACCCAGTGCTCATCTTCAGTGCTCTCCTTAATGCCCATCCCCCATTTAGCCTGTCCCCCACTGACCTCTCCTCCAGCCATGTTCAGTTTGTTCTCTATAGTTAAGAGTCTCTCTTATGGTTTGCCTCCCTATGTTATACTGTTTAAATGTAAGTATACACTTCATTATGAAGGCCAAATGGACCTGCTAACTAAATCCCAAATGTGGCTGATTTACTCAAGTGTCAGAATGGCATCCCTACCCTAGAGTAGGAACTACTCCAGGAAGGTCAACTCAAGAGGCCTGCAGCTTAGGGGATGTTCTCTACAGAGGAGAAGGGAGGAGATAGTCAAATGTTGCAAGTTATTCTTCCCAAATTGAATATTTAGATAAGGAACCGTAAAAAGCCAGAAGAATCAATGCATTATTACTCCCTCACCTGAAAGCCAACTCTGGGAGCAAGAGTCAACTCCCACACCTGATGTGTCAAAACTCACCATAATAAAGACCTCTTTCATTGTCTGAAATGATTACTTGGGAAATATCCGCGGCATAATCAAGGGCTCTTGTGAAGTCCTGAAGAAAAAGTCCTTGAAAATATTAATTCAATATTTATTCCCCAGATTTTAAATGGTAGATGAAAAATATCAGACATGATCAAAGGAACAGTAAAGTGCTTCATAAAAGGATATTCTAATGGAAAAGCCAGTAAGTCTTCTTTAAGTGCTAATTGTTAAGAAAATCATATTTCAGCTATGAAGTTAAAAATGTCAACCATAACCAGTGTTCTTGAAAATTCAGCCAAACAAGTTATTTTGGTCATTGTTGAAATTGATGCAATCCCCTTAAAGATTAATTTTGAAATTTCTAGAAATCATTAAAATTACCTTTTACAAAATACCTTTGTATTTTTATTTTTCAAGCAGTTTTATGTTTAAGAATTTATCCTCTAATTGTCCTGGCCTATGTATGGGAGGATAGAGTCCTGGTTTTCCTTTTCTTCTTACAAAGATCAATTTTTTCCCCCTCTTTTCCATTTTTAAGTCTTAACTTGGAACTGATGCTGGTAATTTAAAAACCAAAAATAACTGAATAATCTAGACTCTAAGCTAGATATTTTATGGAATATTGTAACAATTGAATATGGTGGAAATATCTCCTACTTTCACATTCTGCCTCTAGGTTGGTCTTATATCATACATATTTTCAGGAAAACTGCCAGAAGTAGTGATTTGGGGCATACTTCAAAATTCCACAAATAAGCTTAGAATTAAAGTGAACTATGCAAAGCTGATCTGCTGCCTATTTTTGTATAGCTCAGTAGCTAAGAGGAATGGTTTTTACAGATGAATTTTTGCAATCAGTTTGATGGTAGAGAAAATCTAACTTTCAGCCACACTTTAGCAGAATGTTATCCCCTAGAACATTTTTCTAATTGGTAGACTTTCATTACAGAAAACTAACAAGTGTGTTTATTATTATTAGTAGTGCCCATTATAAATGATACATCATTACATAGAATTTCACCAAAATTTTTGTGGAAATATGCTTTGTCTCTTTTTAGCTAAATACCTAAAAAATACTCTTTAATTGCCTCTTTGCCCCCATGGTCCAAGCTATTTAATTGGCCCTTTTCATAAAAGTTTGTTGAACTCTTGCTAGAACATTAAGAAATTACCTCTGAGACTCTTCATCACAGGAAAAAAACAGGGTTCCTGGAGTGGTGGGGGGTGGGGAGGTGGGTAACTGGGTGGTGGACATTAAACAAGTCATGTGATGTAATGAGACTGATTGTGATGTAAATAAGATTGATGAATCACTGAACTCCAGAGATTAATAATACATTATATGTTACTTAATTGAATTTAAATTGAGAAGAAGAAAAAAAGAAATAATCTCTGATTTCTTTTAGTTTCTTTTATTTCAAAGACACTGTTATCAAAGAAAGCAGCCATTACTGGTAATCCAATCTAATGCTATCTAAATCAATACTGACATTTAACAGCCTCAAAAGATGCCTCAGGATAACCTCTACATTTATAGAGTAATTATCTTCAGCAGTCATCTGATAAAGTCCAGTCCATAAAACAAGCCAGAGTACCCACACCCATATGACATGCAAGAATCTAGTATTTTTACATATACATTGGTTTTAATGTCATAAATCAAAGCATGGAGAGCTGTACACATGCAAATATTTTCCATAATCTTTAAAAAGGTGATCTATGAGCTGAGGTTTTCAAGAATAACCCACAAACCATAAGTTCTCGAGCCATTAATTTAGACAGAACACAATATATTCATTAATACAATAGTCTTGAGTGATTAAAAAGCATAATGTTTTATGTCCACTGAGAAGATACACTGCCAAATGCCAAGTAGGTAAACACACACACACACATACACACACACACACACACACACCTTTCTTATAGTAAAAACTCACCCATGACACATGATAACTTTCAGAATAAAGTTCAACAAGTTGGCGTGGTGTCCACAATCACTCTTGCTATTTGTATTTGTCTTATCTGTACAAATTGTACATTACACTTTACATTCTCTCTTTAATCTCCAATATCATCTACCTGTCACGAATGCCTTACCTGCTTAGCCATTCATTTGTCTTTCCTTAAGAATCAGATGCCTTGCAGAGAAAGACAAGTACTATATGAGTTCATTCATATGTGGAGCTTAAGAAACCAAACAAACAAGTGAAGGGAAAAAATAGGAGAGAGGTAATTCAGGAAACAGACTTTTAATAACAGAGAACAAACTGATGGTTACCATAGGGGAGGTGGGTGTGGGGGAATGGGTGAAATAGCTGATAGGCAATAAGGAGTATACTTGCTGAGATGAGCTCACAGTGTTGAATACCATATTGTACACCTGAAGGTAACATAACACTGTATGTTAAATAACTGGAATTAAAATTTAAAAAAAGAAAAATCAGGCTCCTATTAAAAAGACAAAGAAAATAAAAGTAGCTCTACAGACTGCTACCTTCAGTTGAATTTCAGTGCTTCACTCTCTTTGCTAACCCACATTCTATTGGTACCTCTACCACTTTTCTCTCATTTTCCTCTCTGTCTCTCACTTTCTCCTGGAAATATAAAGCTATGGTAGCTATAAAATCAAAAACAGAAACACTGTGTCAAATTTAACATTATGCTTCTATTCTTCACTATAGCATTTATAATATTGTAGGTTTTTTATAACATTTTATCAATTAATAAAGTAATGGTGAGAGTGCAGAACTCTCGAGAGTGCTCAGGATTTTTGCATCTTAATGCCTTGAATGACACCATAAATGTTGAAATTTGAAGACTATGTCTAATTAGATACATATAGTTTTTGCTTCTTTGTTTGGGATTTTTGTTTGTTTGAATAAGAATAAAAAAAAAAAAACTTCCTCTCCTTTTTTTGAAGATGATTGGGATGGTCGAGAAACAAACAGAATCAATGATTTATTTTCACTGACCTGGAAAGTCACAAACCATGAGTCATGGGTGCATTTAATTCATTGAGAGATTTGTGTTTGTTAATCCTTCTGGAGAAGGATACTTAAAGGAGAAAGTTTAATCAATAATTAAAAATGAAGAAAAAAGGAACTAATATATTTTGTTGTTTCTACATTACTCATTCTCATTTCCCAGTAGGATCTAAACCCTATGACCAATAGGTATCATGGACTATGATGTGAAAACCATCTAAAAGGCAGGAAAATTTCACAAAAGAATTAAATTGAAAACTCAAACATCATAATTAACATGCATTTTTGCGGTTTTATTTAATTTTGAGAGATAATTACTTACTATTGTATAAAGGGAAAGACTGCAGGTATTAATCACATTGGATTTTATGAACACAACATCTTTACCACATGAATGCGGATCTGCTTGGTCTTGGCACCATATACAAGAGGATTGAGAAATGGGGGGACCAGCAAGTAGAGGCTAGAAAAGAGGATATGGATATAAGGGGGAATATGAGCACCGAACCTATGTGTGAAGAAGGAGAAGAAGGCAAGGAGGTAGAGCTGGAGGAAGACACAGATGTGGGCGATGCAGGTATTGAATGCTTTCCATCGAGCCTCCTTTTGAGGCAAACGGAAAACTGTGATAAATATTTGTATGTAGGACAAAGTGATGAAGGTGAGGTCGAATCCCACAACAGCAAATGCCACAAACAGACCATAGATTTTGTTGACCTGCACATTTTCTGCAGCCAGTTTCACGATGGCCATATGTTCACAGTAGGAATGGGAGATGATGGTTGTATGGTAAAACTGAAACCGACACTTTATCAGGACTAAAGATGGGGTTGCTGGAATGGCAGCCCTAAGTGTTACCACAGCCCCTATTTGTGTGACCAGCTGGTGGGTGAAGATGGCACCATGTCTTAGTGGATAGCAGATGGCCACATAACGGTCCAGAGCCATGGCCAGGAGGATGCCTGACTCGATGCACTCAAACGTGTGGATGAGTCCCATTTGAAGCAAACAAGAGTCAAAATAAATCTCTGGCACATGAAACCAGAAAATGCCAAGCATCTTGGGCACAATGCTTGTGCCAAGTACAATATCTGTGACTCCTAGCATGCCTAGGAAAATATACATGGGTTCATGGAGGCTATGCTCTGAAATGATGATGATCAGAAGCACAGAATTTCCAATCAAAGCAAAGAGATACATGGCACAGAATGGAATCCCGATCCAGCACTGCACAGACTCTAGGCCTGGGATCCCTATTAGGGTCAACACAGAAGGCAGGAAGACTGTAATGTTGGAGATGGACATAATGTTTTTGGGTCTTCAGAACCAAATGAAAGGAGTATCTCAGTCAATGGTATTCTATTCTTCTTCTCTACTCCTTCTTTAATCCAAAGTCGTCATAGTGGGTCTCTCTGATTCTGGCCAAAGTCTAAGGTCATATCATCCATTTCACCTGTATTATTGATGGAAAAAAGACTTGATCATTGATGCACATCACTGTTTTGAGGGAGGACATCCCCAAGCACTAGTCCACAAGAAGAGATTAGGTGTATAGCAGGTCAAATGCATTAGAACCACCAGATCATCTGAGTAAGGGAATCAACTGCTGGACCTGTGGACACAATACATCCTTCTGGACCTGTGGACAAAATAATAATATTTGTTTATTTTGTTTGCAAATTGACCATTAATCAGATTTTCATAAATCTCACCCTATCCCAAATTGCAGGTAATCCTTAGAACTCTATTTTTCCCCCACTGTCTGAGTCAGAAACTGTTTGTACCAGCAAATAGTCAAACTCTATCCAGTATATTGTTATCAAGGGCTTGTATGAAAGAGAAGAGAGATAGAAACAACTCCACCCAAGTGCATAATATACTTAGATATCTATATCTGTCTATACATTTTATATCTACATATGAATGGATGTCCTTTCAAAAGAATGTGAGGTAGAGCTTGAGAAAAGATTCAAATCCTTGTAATTTTTACAATCTGGATCAAAGTTCCATATTATTTTTTTAGAGATAACATTTGGCAATTTATTTATTTTTTAAAAGATTTTGTTTATTTATTTATTTGACAGACAGAGATCATAAGTAGGCAGAGAGGCAGGTAGAGAGAGAGGGGGAAGCAGGCTCTCTGCTGAGCAGAGAGCCTGATATAGGCTTGATCACAGGGTCCTGAGATCATGACCTGAGCTGAAGACAGAGGCTTAACCCACCAAGCTACCCAGGCACCCCTTCAATTTATTTTTAATTCCAATGTAATAGTCATAGTATTATATTAGTTTCAGTTGTCCAATATAGTGACTCAACAATTCCATACATTACTCAATGTTCATCAAAGTCAGTGCTCTCATTTTTTTATTATTATGTTATATTATGTTGGTCACCATACAGTACATCATTAGTTTTTGATGCAGTGTTCCATGATTCATTATTTGTATATAACACCCAGTGCTCCATGCAATACATGCCCTCTTTAATACCCATCACTGGGCTAACCCTTCCCCCACCTCCTCCCCTCTAAAACCCTCATTTTGTTTTTTGGAGTCCATAGTCATACCTTCCTATGGTTTGTCTCCCCCTCCAATTGCCTCCCCTTCATTTTCCCCATCCTTCTCCTAATGTCCTCCATGCCATGTTTTATATCACTAGTAAAACTATATTTTATTTTATCTCTATTACTAACATGGAATTCACTAAAATGAGTTGTATACTTAAAATAGCAGAAATTCTGTAATACCCATTTCAGAATAACTATAAGTAAGAAATATCTAGGAGGCAAGGAAATCCTGAGCAAAAATGTAGAGTCAAGAGGACTCATTCTTGCATACTAAAGAACATAAGCAAATGGGTAACTTAGCCAGAATAGAGGTTAGTTTCTAGGATTTAAAGTGTTTTCATTTACCAATATCAAAATGTGGGTACATTTAGGCCTATTGATTCTCAGTAAGTAATATTCATATTCATATTACTTAATGCTTTCATCATTGTGGAGCTCAAGCATGAAAAATGAATAGAAAATAAAGAGGTGAAAGATAGGTTCCTTAGAAGGGAATCCAATCTAGAAGAAGAAAAGGAACACAGAGGGCAGACTTTGGGACACCAGAAATGATTCAGGAAAAGGCTGTAGAGCCATTAATGATAATTTGATTAGCACAATTCACTGATGACTGAATTTTCAAAAGACTTGGGCTCTTAGTCCCCATATCAGAGTTCTTCTATGATAAAGATCATTGTTTAAAAAATTGCATATCTAGAATCATGACATTCTCAGGTCATACAATAGAAAAATACTTGTTGTCCTTCAAAAAAAAAAAAACCCAAACAAACAGGGTTCGGTTATGTCATTCTTTCCGAGACTCTCCAACACAGTTGCTATATGTCAGCAAGTTCGTGATCACTTAACCATATGCTGAATAGAGATCCTTCAGTAGCAACCCCATTGTCTGACTTATTCAAGAGACAGGAGCTGCCATGGGAGAATTACATGACAGATACGGATGGTGGGAAGGCAAGGGAGAGGATGTAAGTGAATACAGGGCAGGTGAGAAGGGGTGGTAATCACTGGAGAAGTAAGTGAAGCATTATGAGGTAAATCTGGGGATAGTGAGACTTCCTCACCCTTTGTTGTTGGGAACCAGTTCTGCTTTTACCTGACACCTGAAGACAACCATCAGTCTTCATAGCCCTATTCCTCATTGCTTACCTCTCAGCCATCTTTCTTCCTCCCAAGATTCTGGTCTCATTCCCTGGTATCATGTACTGGGCAGTGCCTCTTCTTCTGTCTACACCCTAAGTAATAGCCTGTGTGAAAGTCATGAACTCTGATCCATTTGCTGCTCGGGCCAAATCCAATATATGGACAACTCTGCAATAGCCTTTCCTGCTTTTCTTCTGTCCCTACAAAACAAATTTGACCCTATCCTGTTAGTCTTTCTGAGATCATGTTGGTGGATTCATCTTCCAACAAAACCCATAGCAAGGTCTATATCATTTTGAGGCAGCCACATAAATTTATTGAGCTTGAATTGTAGAAGAAAACCATTGACTACCAATTAAAATATTCCCCAGTGAATGACCTGAGGGATTTCCTCACCACTAGGCCAGTCCAGGAGGCTCCCAGCAGCTCAGAATGATACCCTTTTGGGTCCATCCACAGCTAATGTCTCTGAAATCATTTCTATAACTTGCAGAATTGCACTAATCTTCTCTTTTCTCTTCTCCCACAGGGTAAATGTAGAGAAACTAATACACACAAGTTGTATTTTTATGAGTTCAGTTCCTTTTCTGCCATCCTCATTTGGAATAACTTCTAAAGAACACTTAGATGTGGGCATGTTCCTATGCCATGAATTCTATAAATGTTCTTAGGACCCTTTGTTCACTAAGGCACTTCTGGAAAGAAAAGTCTGTATCCACAATATCTTTTTATCACACATTTACTCTCCTTCTCTTGCAGTCTTAATCCTGAGATTTTTATTCTATTGAAGCTATTTTTGTAAATTTAATGTTATTCTCACAATGACCAATTATGATGTACATTTCCAAATCCTACCATACTAATTTTAGAATTATTTGTCCAGCTTTGTGAAAAAAAAGTGGATTGTATTTTGTTAGGGATAACATTGATTGTGTAGATTGCTTTGGGTAGTATAGACATTTTAACAATATTTATTTTTCCAATCCATGAACATGGAATGTTTTTCCATTTCTTTGTCTTCCTCAATTCTTTCAAATTGTTCTGTAGTTTTTAGAGTATAGATCCTTTACTCCTTTGGTTAGGTTTATTCCTAGGTATCTTATGATTTGGGGTGCAGTTGTAAATGGGGTTGGTTCTTTCATTTCTCTTTTTTCTGTCTCATTGTTAATGTATGAAATGAAACTGATTTCTGTGTATTGATTTCATATCCTGCCACATTGTTGAATTCCTGTATGAGTTCTAGCAATTTGGGGGTGGAGTCTTTTGGGTTTTCCACATAAAGTATCCTGTCATCTGAGAAGAATGAGCATTTGACTTCTTTATCAATTTGAATTTTTTTTAACCTCTTTTTGTTGTCTGATTGCTGAGGCAAGGTTTCTAGAACTATGTTGAACAACAGTGGTGAGAGTTGGCACTCCATCCAGTTCCTGGCTTTAGGGGAAAAGGTCTCAGTTTTTGCCCACTCAGAATGATGTTTGCTGTGGGACTTCCATAGATGGCTTTTATGATATTGGAGTGTGTTCCTTCTATCGAGGTAGGTGGAACTGGAGGGTATATGATGAGCAAAATAACTCAATCAATGAAAGACAAGTATCATGTGGTTTCACTCTATGTAGAATATAAGAAACAGCAGAGACAATCATAGAGGAAAGGAGGGAAAATGGAATGGGAAGTCATCAGGAAGGGAAAAAACCAGGGGAGACCCTTAATCATAAGAAATAAACTGAGGGTATGCCTCCATCAGAAAGGATGAATACCCAACTTTTGTAGCAACATGGACAGGACTGGAAGAGATTATGCTGAGTGAAATAAGTCAAGCGGAGAGAGTCAATTATCATATGGTTTCACTTATTTGTGGAGCATAACAAATAGCATGGAGGACAAGGGGAGATGGAGAGGAGAAGGGAGTTGAGGGAAATTGGAAGGGGAGGTGAACCATGAGAGACTATGGACCCTGAAAAACAATCTGAGTGTTTTGAAGGGGAGGTGGGTGGGAGGTTGGGGGAACCAGGTGGTGGGCATTAGAGAGGGCACGGATTGCATGGAACACTGGGTGTGGTGCAAAAACAATGAATACTGTTACGCTGAAAAGAAATAAAAAATTTAAAAAAAAACTGAGGGTTGATAGAGGGGAGTAGGGTTAGAGGATGGGGTAACTTGGTGATGGGCATTGAGGAGGGCACATGATATGATGAGCACTTCTTGTTATACACAACTGATTAATTATTGAATACCACACCTGATTAATGATGTACTATAAGTGGGCTAATTGAATTTAAGTAAAATTAATTAATTAGTTAATTAGTTAGTTAGTTAGTTAATTCTACCATGCAGAATCCTGAGCCAGTTGTTGACCATCTGGTGAAATTTCTCTCCATTCCTCCTTTTTATACCTTTCTTCCTCTTTTCTTCCACTTTTCCCTCAGAATGCAGGTATTTTATGCCTCATAGATGTGGAGAAATCATGTCATCTGCTCTTAATGCAAGGAAAAAGAAGATAAATATGCTTTCAAACTTTTAGGAATATAGGAAGAATTCATATGTCTTTTATCATTAGAACAAATGAATTCTAAGAAATACTTATGCACATGGTACCTTT